GGGGTGGAGAGTACCACTCGCAAACAATGTGAGCCACTGTTCTCAACCTATCACCCCCCGGGGTCAGAGAGGAGAAGACGTGCTAGTGCAACCTCATCTCCTCCAGTCGCCTCTCACATAAAGCCTGGGGATTTCTCCAGCGCCCTGGCTCGGATGTTGTTTTTACCCAGATTGTGGGTAGGTCTTTTGGACAAGCGTGTTTCAAGCTGCACTATAATAATCCCACAGGTATTTAGCTTAAGGGAGGGACCTTCACACCTCCGCAAAACTGGTGTAGGGCGAAAAAAAAGTGTGTGTGTGGGCAAACAGGTGTGGTAGCCAAGACGTCATGCTCTGTTTTTCTTGATAATTTGTATTCGTCTTAACTTTTCCAGTCTGTCTGCATTCAGGAGATATTTCAAAAAGTAGTCCATGGTGTTTCACAGTGTACTTTTGTCTTCGATCGCTACTTTCTTTACCTTCTCTAAAACAAGTTTGAAATTTAGCAGAAAGGGTTCCTTTGTGAAGAAATCCACCATCATGAGTTTGAAACCTTTCTTTTAGTTGTCATGTGTGACAGGAAGAGCAGTTAACCATTGGAACTATTTCTTTTAACCCCCTTGAGTCACAGACCTGTGTGTGTGTGTGTGTGTTTCTAAAAAGCAATCCTGCTTTGCTCTTATCTCTCTTTTTGGTGGGGTGGAGGGAAGGGGTACAAAGGAAGTAGACATTTCGGCTAAAGCCAGAGTCTTCCCAGGGCACGAAACTTCATCTGTCCCCTCCTCCATCCACATAGGCTCTTCACTTTCACCCCTGACCCCGTCACACCCTCCTCCGGGGTCCAGGAACAACAAAAGCGGGAGATTAGGGAAATTGACAGGCTAGAGGGGATTACTGTAGCCCTTTTCATCTTTGGCTGTGCACACAGTTGACACAATCTGTTAGCAGTACTTTAACTTAATCTTATTGCAGTTTACTTTATTAGTTTGTGTGTTTAGCCTTGATTTGTACATAGATTTAGCTGTAGCAAAGTCCAAAGAAATAACACACATCGCAAGTTTTGTGTTTGACTGGCATGCATGTACCATTTGTGACACTTAAATTAATAAACATGGCACAGCCCCGTGCGAGTGACTAACTTAGCTGAGGGAAAAGTTGACAAGCTTTGCTGCTTTTTCTTACCTTCAGAGGATGTTTCTGTATAGACGTCAAAAACAAACAGGAAATGTAGAGTCCGATAAGGAAATCAGGGGATTACAAGACACCTAGCCAAGTAGAGCATTAAGGGAGAGTCAGATGTTGCGTTCATCACTTTTTGGAAGTCTGAACTTAGATCTGGAAATGGCACACTCAGTTTATCTGTGTTCCAACTGCAGGTTGAAGAACTTGTTTCTTAATAGCAGAAGTACAGTACTATCTCTAATTTTAACGGACAGAGGTGAAAATAAAACGTTTGTTACAGCAGTTAACCGTTTTTTTATTTTTCATGCATGAGGCAGCCATATTGCTCAGGGTCAAGGCCTCCACATAAATCGTCTCTAGTTATTGTGGTTGCATGACAAAAATTGTGCCATTTTGTTCACGGCTTCAAGTCGTCCGCCCATTTGAGAGAACTTGTCTCCCTGCTCCACATAAGAAATTATAAAGGGACTGGACAGAAGTTTGTGGGCGTGTTTGTTTATGCTGAAAGCGCTCACGCCGCATTTTGCTTGAACTACTCACTT